CAGATATGAGTTTAAATTTAAAATGAATGCCCAATGCTTTGAAACTCTTGCTTCTTTGAATATCAAAGAACCAGTTCCAAGCTATTTCCGTTTTGTTATAATACAAGGTTTCCGGGATTTGGGAAACATAAATATAAGAAAATAAAAAAGAAAAGGGTAAATTACGTATTTAGTATCTAAACTATTAGTTTTAACCCATTTTAATATTTAAAATTTTAATTTTTTAAATCATTCCCAACATTTAGTTTTTGTTTCATTTTAGTACTCTTTTTCAAAATGTAACATTACGTTTTTAACAAGGGTACTAAAATGAAATAAAAACTAAATTTTAGGTATGATTTTAAAAATAATTAAAAGTTTAGATACCAAAACAGATCAAAATTGATAATTTAAGTGCTGAATGCGTAGTTTACCCAAAAAGAAAACAAAGAACATGTAACTCTTCTTGGTTTCTGCTAAAGCAAAAGGAGAGTCTAGCAAACTAGCTGGTTACGGTAGCTACCAATATGTTCATGTACCAACCAGAAGAGGAAGGAAAAAAAATAAGTTTCTCCGTCTATTATATCCGAAGCGTAACTAAATTGGGACCTAGCCTCAGAAACAATGTCCGAGTCAGTGGCTCGGGACCGCCTCGAGCTTCCTTCACCGCTTAAGAATTGAACGTTCAGTGAACCGTTCATGAATCGTACGGCTGGAAATTCGTTTATGTGCGTTTATTTATTAAATGAACAAACATGAACAAGATTTTGTGTTCGTTTAATTAAATAAACGAACATGAATATATATTTCGTTCGTTTATTTACGTTCGTGAACGTTCAGTTATGTTCATTCGGTTATGTTCGTTTATGTTCGTTCGGTTATGTTCGTTTATGCTCATTTATTTATGTTTAACCCAATCTTCTTAAATCAATTTTGGTGACCAATTTGTAAGTATCTTAAAAATATTAATTAATTTGATATTCTGATGACCAACTCCATAATTAACCCAATTTTATTTGGACATTAAATCCAATATATTTACCCGTGAGGCACCCCGCACTTATATTCATTTTCCCCCTTTTTTCCCAAATCCTAATGTTTACTGGAGAGTGGAGACGATCGCTGAAAGCTTCAAAACAAGTAATATTATAGTGCAATCTGAAGTTTACATGTCTGTTTTCATCTTTTTCTCTATTTTATTTGGCTTAATAATTAATATGTAAAGTTATTGTGGGTATCTTCGCATCTAAAACTCAAAAAAACATCATACTTCTTTCTAGAAATAGATGGGAATATAAAGGTAAAAGTCGGAAGTATATGAGCATCAGTAAAAAGAAAAATATAATAGAATTTGCCAGAAAACAAAACAAATGTTTCTATGTAATTTATGAAAAAGAGTATAATAGTGGAAGTAATGGGTTTTCCAGGAATAACCCATTAATAAGTAGAAAATACACTTTGACAATGAACTTTTGTTTTCATAGTTCTTGTGTGATTTTTAGTTGTGGGGTAGACTTTAGGTACTTTAAAATTTTGAATGGTGGTTTAACAATAATATCAGTTACGATATGTAACATCGAAGAGATTTCGGATCTATGTTATTGCCTTGTAGTCCAATTTAAAATCTTCATGCTGTTAAATTTTCTACTCTGCCAACGGAAAGAACCATTATTAACAAACCTCACTAAAGTATGATATTGATGTCACAAAACTTTTAGCTGACGAATTTATTAGAATAACGTAGATTTGGTTGATTTGCATTGTCGGCTATTTTTCATGAAAGAACAATGGAAGGTAGGGTCTCCAACGTTTATGTTCGTGTTCATTTATGTTCGTGTTCGTTTATATTCGTGTTCGTTATGTTCGTGTTCGTTTATGTTCGTTTATGTTCGTTTATTTATTAAATGAACAAACATAAACAAGTTATATTCCTTAATAAACGAACATGAACAAAAAAAAATTGTTCGTTTATGTTCGTGTTCGTTTATGTTCATTTATTATTAAATGAACGAACATGAACATACCTCCGTTCGTGTGTGTTCGGTTTGTTTACAGGCCTACGCCCAACTCTTTGACGGCCTTATTTCTTTTACTTCTCTTGGGCTCTTTTGAGGTCGAGTCTGTAGCTTGGTTCGAGTCCTTGGGTTTTTTGGTCTTCTTTGATTGCTTTGGTTTCTCCGTTGTTGAAGGCACACCACTCCGGTCTGTGACGGAAGTAGCACGCTTGGATGATTTAGGCAGTTGTGGTGTCTTTTGGTGCAGAGCTTTTACCCCTTGAACTCTTTCGGCTCAAACTATTGTTGTCTGTAAAATTGTATGGAAGATAATGATTGCATAATATACGAATGAATGGAATTATGGCAACCAAAATGTTTCTTCATTGTACCAACTTCTCCTCCGAGAGCTAAAGGAGGTGTTTGAAACCCTCCTGCTGGTGTTTGAAACTCATTCATCTGCATGTAGTCAAGTGAGAAATATAACACCATTCATCATGCCACTCAATAGTAATAATGGGGATTAAATTTAAATGAATTTGTTTACACAGGTGGGTTTTGACTGTACTGTTGATGGACCATCCCATCCTATATGAGCCACATGCTTTACATCTGTTGGCAGACCCAATCTGCATTTCAGGCTCTTTTTCACTTTCTGCAAAAAATAAAAGTTCACCCATTTCTACCCATCATTACTAACATCTCAAAGGCCAGACAAACCCACCAGGTTGCTTTGCTTGCTTAAATTCTTCTCCTGTTTTCTTTATTTTTAAATGTCAACAAATTATATTCGGGATAATCTAATTATATAGTGAATTTTTTAACTAAATGAAGAAAAATATACAATTAAGATTAAAAAATAAGAAGAAATTTATTGAAAAGAAAAAATAAGTTACTTTCTATTTTCACTTATCTAACGATTTTAATTTTTTTTGTAAAAGTATAAAAATTTTACATTGTATAATTGGATTATATATATAAGACTTATATAACAAATAAGTACTTAAAATATATTATCTTTTTCATTTGAGTACCTAGGTCAAAATAGATACTGAAAGTTATCTTTTTTGTTAAAATAGATATCTAAAAATATTTTCGATCAAAATATGTACCTAAAGTATTTAAATTTTTATCTAATTACCTAAAGTATCTTTAATTAATGTCACATGACAACTTTTTTAGAACTTAAATGAAAAAAATTAAATAATTTAGGTACCTATCTTGACATAAAATACTTTTAAGTACTTATTTTGATAAAAAAATATTTTAGGTACTTAAATGAAAAAGTTGGTATACTTGGTACTTATTTGTGATATTAGCCCTATACTTAGGCACTTATATTGTGTAAAACTCTTTTAGTTTTACACATTTTTACCATTGGAGGAGAGAAATTAAATGTTAAAATTAATAGTGAAAATGAGAAGATGTTTATTAGGAAAAAAACAAGGAGTTAATCTCAATATTTAGTTTCCTCCAATACAACGGTCCTAAAAATGTGTTAAACTAAAAGAGTTTTACACAATATAAGTGGAGCCTAACTCAACTATTCAAGTAGTTTCGTTTTGGTCACTTGATTATTATTTTTTAAATTATATCTAACGGTACGTTTTGATTTTATTTTGATCTATAATCATTTACAAAATAGTAGAACTATTAACATGATATTTTTTTCAATGATGAAGTGGCACTACCTTATGGTGATATGTCAACATCGCCATTAATTTTTAATGACGTGTGATCAAAATGAAATTAAAATGTAATGTTAGACATGATTTTAATATATATATATATATATATATATATTAGATGACGAAAAAGGAACTGCACAAGTAGTCTGGTGACTAAATACGTCAGTATTTTATGAATCATAGGAGAGAGGTGGAAATACATACCAAATATATGAGTGAAGTATTTAAGACCTTTGGGCAACCCTTTCATCTTTACAATTCAATTATACAGGCTCGGATCCTTTTGCATTCTCCACGTTTTGAGTCAAGTCTGATGGACTAGTCACGCCGAACATCTTGAGAACCCCTGTTCCAATCTCAGACACACATATCTTGGGCCTAATATCTATGGGCGTGACAATATCTACAAATTAAATCAGCATATGGTGGCGGAACAAACCAATCTGAATCTGCAAACTAAATCAAACTGTTTTAAGTAAATAAATCCTTCAAATATATGAAAAAAAACGAATATATCCGAACCCAGATAACTTGGAGAACAATCCTCTCACATCATTCAAACAACTGTTATGCTAAGGCATCTCACCTTCACAGGAAGAACACAAGTTTGTGTGATGCAAACATGCATGCAGAGCATGTTTCTTAAAATACAGGGAAGAACACAAGTTTCTGAATCATTGAAACATGCTTAATCCAACGGAAGTGCAATCTAAAATAACGACGACTTAAAGAAAATTTAGGGTTTAGAATTAGAGCAGATGTATTTAGGAAGGTTTTAACTAATTCTTATTTTGTAAGAGCTTACAGGTTCTTGTCTTTTCCCCCCTTTCCTGTTTTAAATCATTACTAGATAAAGTATGTTATATATACTAAATAAATCCCGAACAAAAATACGTATCTACGTCCTCTAAAAATGAACTAATTCTATTAATTTCAAAAGTAAACGGTAAAAATGAAGTAACTAATTCTATTAATTTCAAAAGTAAACGGTTAACGACAACTAATCACGTTCTTTTTATATTTTCTATAAGTTTTACATAATCATGATAGACAAATTTAACCACCAAAACTTATTCATTATGTTAATTTGATACTAATTCTAAACATGCAATTTATTATTATATCAATTAAAATTGTACAAAATTAACAAAAAAACAATAACATCATAATTAATTAATTGTTATTTTATTTCTTCCGAAATTGAAAGAAACTAAACATTAAATTTATAAAGAGATCAATTTGTCTATTTTTTTTTTGAAATAGGGTACTTTGTATTAAAGAAAGTAACAAAGTACACTACCTCAAAGCTCTCATTAAAAAACCTCACTAATCTTATATGGAGAAAAAAGAGTGTACCTTGTGGTAGAGAACAAATACACAGAATAGTAACATCATTCAGAACATACCCACACATTACCACAATCACCAAACCAACACATAAAAAAGCTAACACAGACAACCAACAATAAGAAAATAGGTCACACTACGAAATACACATACAACAAAACCAAAGGAATGAACCAAGCACTGGAACAGACCACAACAACACCCTGAACTTGACCGAAGGCACATCACTAGGAAAGAGACACATACTTGCTGAAAATCCTTCCACACTTCCTCGAAGAACAGTATGGGCACTACAAAATACCCGCAAAATGTCAGAGAACCAAGCATCACACCTCAACTCAGTGCTTCTCTGAAACAAACTTCATAAAAGCTACCTCGAAGCCAGCAAAAGCAAGAGAATCCTCCTGCAGCAAAGAAAGCAACCATCACCGTCCCAGCCCAAGAGCCATCCTAAATGATAACCGAGCAAATGACAGGGACCACCGAAGCCCGCTGCACTACCAGAGGCAATCTGGCGACAGCAAAATGGAATCAAACTTGTAACTTCAAGGCTTTAAAGAGAAGAACCCCACAAGAACCTTAAAACGATGAAGAATCGAGCGCACCACACTAACAATGAAATATCAATGAAAAACCAGACATCAATCTCTCCACCGAAGTTCAACCTAACAAACCACTCTAAAAAACCTTGAAACAAGACTCATCCGACTAGAGACGGTGAGCTTACATTCGAAGAAGTGAGCCAGCAAAGCACCCGGATCAAACTAACCTACAATGTTGATTCGCTGAAACAACACCAAAGCACAAGGCTGAACCATCCACTCAAGTACAGGCCACTAGACACCACCACCAACCAACCAGAACACGGTGAGATGAAGAACTCCACCAGAAAATTGCTTGGCAACCGATAACACTTCAGCCACAGAAACCAGACTAACACAAAAATAAACCTACTAAACCTACAGAAAAACACTTGGAACTAAACTGCTCCAGCTCCACTAAACACCACAAAATATCCACAAAATAAACCTACTACCCCTGATAAACACGCACCAACCTCAAATAAATCTAGATAAACAAACTAGAGAATATGCGAATCCAACCCTAGATGCTACTCGCCTACTCTTCTATAGAAAGAACACACAAAACTCACCATAGTGACCCTCAAACTGCCAAGAACCTTACCCAAGAAAGGAGAAAGCCACTAACACCGAAGCAGGAACCGAAAAAGGCCTAAGCACTCTCACTCATACACTATGGCATTAACACAAACAGCTTGCATACAGATATATCCATCACGACCAGACTCCCAAAAACAGATTTGTAGCCCACTCAGAAATTCAAAAACTATGAAAACTAATGTCAGAAGCAAGCCAGACCTCAAGCACGAAACATCAAACAATAAGATATATGAGAAGACTTAGTTGGAAGAGAAAGGAACAGCCTCACCAAACTAGAAGAGAACTCCCAGCTAAACAAGTAGAAAATTTGGCGACAAAAGCCAAAACGAAACCTAATCCCAAAAACACCAGAGCAGGGCCGATTAAAACTTGAAAAGAACAAAGGAGGAATCGACAGCATTGAGTTGGCTTAAGAAATCAGATGAGGAGCGGTCAAAAGGAGAGCGTGAAAACAGCAAAGAAGAAGATGGTGGAGGCGGCCACCGCCTCGCATGGAAACCCTGTGTTACGAAGTTCTTAATTAGGTAAAGATTATGCACGCATGGACTTAAAATAGGTTTTTTACCCAAAATACTTTATGAAAATCTTGCTTAAAAGAATTGTAGTTCATTTAATTATGATTCATATTAATCGTGTGTTGCATCAAAGCGAAAATAATTTGACGTTGTTTAAGTAAGATCTTAGATTTAATGTTAAGAGAATTTTTTTTTGATTTATGGTTAAATGTGACTCACTCAAATATATATATATATATAGAATAGTAATGATTGATTAGTACAATGAAACGAAATTGTAGATCCATTCTATAATTAGAATTATCATTACCAAAACAAATTAGATTAAGAATAGCACTTTCGTAATGAGTTTTTAATTAGAAAATTTGTGAATGAAATATATTAAATTGAAAGGATGCCCTTCGTAATGAACATTTACAGTTATCAATTTCAATTAGTTGATTAAAAAGTCGAATATTAATAGTTATATCGATAAAAAATACAATAAATATAATAAACTAAATCAAATTTATTACACCAAGAATTACAGAATTGAGCACTACAAGAAACAAAATCCAAAAACCAAGGAAAGGTTAAGAAAAATGATATTCAAGTATACAAAAATTTGATGAGATTTGCACTCTTATTGAAGTTGTACTGCACCTAAAGTTGTCCCTCTGTGGACAAAAACAAAACCAGTCTGACTTCGTGCTTCACGGAATACAAGACCGTAAACAATTTAATGGAAACGAACATGAAAGCCGAATCACTAACCAGTCTGCGCATTGCACGCTCGAAACACCAAAAAGCGTCAGCTTCGTCTTCGAGAAGAACTACCATTGGAGAGCAGATGTCATTCATTCCTGCTCATGAAAGAACAAAGCCAAAAATGTCGGAGGACGAGAGAACATCGGTTTGGTAATAAATAATGCAATTAACAGCTACCACTCACCTTGAACATAACCGATATCATCATCTACCCAAGAATATATAGCAAAAACATCCTAAAGTTTTGCTTGATTAGCTTCATCCTCATAAAAGACGAGTTCTCGATCAGTTCGAACTACGTCCAAACCTATAGACCAAACACATCAAGTACATATAAGATCCAATCAGTTGTGCATGAAACTATACACCGTACATACCGACTTGATGCAAGGAATGCATCCACTGAGCAACTTTCTTGTCCGAAAGAGCAGGTGGCACATCACACAGCCTTCGACTCCTATCGGTCGGCCATCATCGGTAATAATTGGTTGTGTAATGAACTTTCCACTACCGATGACCGACACAGTATTCTGGCATTCAGTCTTCCACAAGCCATAACGCTCCCTGGGATGGTTAGTCTGAAAAGTTCAGTCACGACGATCAACCAACTTACGAGATGTATAACTATCGAATCGTAAAGTTGTTACCTCCTTTGCTCTCTAAGCTGATTCCGATCATCAAAGGTACTGTTAGGATCAAAGCAACCTAAAAGGAACTCCCAGACTAACCCTTTAACTGAAGGGTGAATACCCTACCATAACATATCAAATAAAGCTAATAACAATTAATTCTTGAGATTTGACACAAGTTGTTGAACTTTCAACATGTGATAAACATTAATCAATTATCTGCAAACCACACCAGTGCAAAATGACAGAGCAGGCACCCAGTTGAATATCAATCATGAAAAAAGAGACAAACATGTGCATAAACACAAATATGCTGGCATCGGAGAAAATACGATATTTTGATTATTCGGGTGCTAATATCGTAGAACTCGCAAAGGCAATCACACATTGAACAAAATTCAAGAATTTCATTGAAGACTTTAAATCCATGATCTTAGAACTGTCATCTAATCAACTGATAACACTATTCAAAAGTCTTACATGCTGCAACATATTCAATGTCCAACAGCGTCGTCTGTTCTTTAGTCCAAAATGTGTGTGTGTTGTCAAAGCAACATAATTATATATAGAACCTGAAGAAATGTGCATACTCCGCGTTGGATCCGTCTAAGAACTTTTTATATATTGAGGTGACCGTCTTCGGAGAATGCAGCCTGCCATCTTCTTGCACTTAGTGTTTTCCCTACCTGGGAAAATAAGTAAAGTGAAAAAACAGCAAGGCATACAAACATAAACAGAAGTGAACATAAAATTAAGGGAAGTGGTGAGTGAAAGATGCAAACTCGAGGCCGAAAGCTAGTCTTTGGAACATCGGCTAAGCTTTCGGGTCTTATGGGATAAAAGGACTCCAACTCCTCTGTTCCTTCTGCATTTTTACCCAATATCTCTGCTACTACCGCCCAGCCAACCATCTAAATTCTAAACAAGCGACCCTAATCGTTCACTGCCCATTAAAACACCCATCAAATTGAAGACATTAACACATAATACATAGAAAACTGTGACTACAAACATTAAATCGTTTGTCAATGGCAAATGGAAAGAAGGAAATTGTGAAAATCATCACCAGCATGGAAGAAACCAAACAAACAAATAACATCTTGGGCAGCATTGATTGAAATCCAGAAACAAAGATCATGGAAGACCCAAATTCATATACAAGGAAAAAGATCAAATTATATTTTCTCACATCAAGGTATGTTGAAAAATTGCATCTTTAAATGTTATTTTTGTTGTCTTTTAAAGCTTACTTTGCAGGGTGGTGAAATCAGATGGGAAAAGCTAATTCCTTCGCAGGCAAGTAGCAACGGATTGGAAATGCTACAAAAAAATTCCTTCATCGAAGCATTTCTTTTGTATTTTATATTTTCTTTATTTTTCCTATTTTCTAGGAGACAATACAGTCATGGAACAATGCAATGAAGATTGAAGAATGATGTGGATGAAATGAGATACACGATAAAGCAACAGTCAGTCCCTAAATTTGATAACTTCGTTTAACCAAACCTCTAAACTTGTTTTAAAATTTGACAACTTTTTTTTCAAATTAATCCTTATTTCATATTTTTAATTATACGATAGTTTGATGTCATTAAATGGACTAAAAATTTAAATCCGGGGACCAAATTAAAAGAGATGTCAATTCCAAATTTTATATAGACCAAAACAGATTAAGTTAAAAAAGATATTAAGTTCAGGAATTAAATATTGATTTATCCCAATGATTTGGTACTCTGGGAATATAGTTTTCTTACTTTAAGCCGGAAGCCAGCGTCCTAGAATTGATCCTCCCAAAATTTTTGTTTAATTAAAGTTAAAATTTTTATTATTTACATGTTATTCAAATTATTTATTCCAAGTATGAGCCAAACGACTCAATAGTAAGAAATTATTATTATTCCTTGAAATATAAATTCGAACACTAAAAATGCTAAGATGTGAATAATCAATGTCAAATGATTGATAGTTATCTTTGAAAAAAATACTACCTGTACTAAACATTAAATATGATTTTTGAAAAATTTGAAAGTATTAAAATGATTTAAAACTGATAGTTTAGATATTAAACATTCATCGATTATAAATATGCAAAACACATCACTCAAAAGTGAAAAAAAGGTCAAAGTGTAAAAATATTAAATATTTAAATACTGAGCGTGTTCTAAAATTTATGTTCCATAAATTACAATTTTCCTTCTCCCACAAAATCCCAAAAGAACATCTACATTGTACAGAATTACAAAAACCAAAAGAAAAAAGGATGAGCCCATCGGCAATCATAACAGCAAATGGTTGTTTAATCAATTAATGAAACGAAACCACGACCTATAACACACTAGCGAATAATATACTGTTGATACCTGGGCAGGGAAGGGGTAAGGGAGTGAAGTAACCGGCTCTTTCCTGCACACGACACAGCAAAGCATATATCATGCTGGTCAGAATATATGCATGTAAAAGCTATACGAACCGACTTCGTATTTTTGGCAGATGGATTTGCTGATCTGATTGGCAGCAGTATCCCCGTGTCGCTTCATTCATTCCGAATATGTTTGATCAAGGGTCCTATGAAACTTGCTTTGGGGAACTTATTAAAATGGAGCTTCAAGGGACTCGTCCCATACATCAGCACTTCC